TGACTTATGCCACTTTCAAAATAAACGGCTCAAATGTTACGAGCGATCTTTTCAATTTGGTTTTCGAGAAATGTATGGAAAATATCTAGTTTAATTCTTAACACGTTCAAACCACCGTCATTTATATCGTAATCAGATAATAATAGATAAATTAATTTTATTACACTTTTACACTTTATTACACAATTTTATTACATTATTGTGTTTTAAAGACTCGATGTATAGCTCAATTTCGTTTTGCTAAATTATTTTAATATCACGTAGTAGTGATGTTTACCAGGTGGTGGTAATGAACGTATTAATGTCTGCAAAATATATCCCAGGATTGTGATTTGTAAAGATCTCTTCAAGATACGTTGGCATTTTGCAAAAATAACTGCTATCCTAAACGTAAGGGTAGTAATAAAGCTTCGACGTGGAGAATAAGTGAATGATCTTTTAGAGACAGATTATTTTGAAAGTGGCATAAGTCACTTTACCGTAATGAAAAGTGGTGATTTTTTAATGTTTATACGAAATTATTTATACTGAGAAAAATATCAGTATCCTGAGATAACAAATACAAGTAAATCTTCTCGAAAGTTAGCATCCATATTTTTAAACGTGTTAAAAAACGCAAACCCTTAAATATATCGACTTAAAAACAAAGTGTCTTATGCCACTTTCAAAATAAACGGCTCAAATGTGCTTTCCATTATGGTACGCGAACATGCGGCGGTGATCATTGCTTTATGAAAATTAGCAAAATGCGATTGTAATAAATTATTTTAGTTAGAAATATGGTAATTAAAAAATTTAGGCGCATCTTACCCAAATGGAAGTAGCAATCGTGACTATACCCCAACTAACTAAAATCGGTAAGAAACTCAGCAGCATAGTGTTCTTCCTTCCAAATCTATCGGCCGAAACAATGTTCAGTGGGGGTGCTATCAAGTTACCAATGGCTACGGCAGCGACCAACGTAGAAACAGCTGATTCTGTGACTGGTATGGGTGAATCATCCGCCATTAGTATTACGATACTTGGCGAATTCCATCCCATAATAAATCCAAGACAACCAGCCAGAGCAGCGCCTCCATAAAGAAAAAAAATTGTTTAATGTAATAACAATTTGTAATTTAAATACTTCTTATGTAAACAGATACTTAAGCTTGATGTTTATAATGATATATAATGCCTATTCTTAGTTTGGAATACATTCATTCGACCCTAACAGTAACTATCTTATTTTTTCATATATAAAAAGACTTTGAGTGAAGAGAGAAATTGCAAAATCTGCTTATGAAGTACTTGTAAATCTCAAGAAACGACGAACGTTGGTTGTAGCCCCCTTAAAATTATATTTGCACGGTGTCGCCATTCTTATAATCGTAGGAAATATAATTAAAAAATGTAAGTAAAGAATATATATCCGTTGTTTTCTCCACGCGAAAAAACTAATTTAACTTTGAAGTGTGTATATTTCATTTACGCTGTAAATCACGGAATTTTTCTGCTTAACGATGGGAAACAAACCGTATTATTATGTAACCAAAAAATGAATTTCGATCTTCATCGAAAGAAGAATCACCCAGAGCTTTCATTATTCTATTTTTATAACCGATGTTAACATTTTGTTGATTTTATCATTGATGCAAAACGGTTTAACGACGATCATCTCATCGAAGATCATTTCATCGATGCGATTTCACCGACAATAAAGAAAATTCACCCTAATTGACCCTCAGCTTTGAAACAAAAATAGACAATTTGAGAAAAGACGATTATTCGAGCCTTGCAGCTTGTTGTTATAGTTATCGATTCTCAACAACTATAAAAATGAGCAAGGCTCCTCTTCTCAAATTGTCCACTTTTTGTTTACAAACTAAGAGTTAATTAGAGAAATAGCATGCATTATGCAGCATTATGGAAATAGCATTTTCAAATATATTTAAGTACGTAATATTCATATGTAATTACTATCTCAAAAAATGTTTATTTGCCATTTTTTATTACGCGGGAAGATACAAATATTCATAGCCCATTCACTATAACAAAAATCTATTTTTCTCCAGCCCTGGTTGGCGCTAATTTTCGCTAGATATAGTTCGGCTAAAAGGCATTATATTGTATTTATTCGATAATTATATTTTATACTTACATACTAAAATAGTCATATACTCCCATGTTCTCGAACCGTCTGGTGAGCTGTAACTTCTCTTCTCGGTGCTCGTGCTCATGCTTTAGCTTTAACATACACTTCCCCAACGATTACTAAACGAACGTCGAACTGCTACTGAACGAGATTGCATCGGACTTTGTCTACAATTAATATTTGAATAATATACCAGATAACGGGGTTTGATGTCAGATTACACGTAGAATTCGTGAAAGTTACTTATCTAATTTACAATGGCACAACGTCTATACTATGGACAGGAATTTGTTTACCCCATAATCTTATTTATCTTAATCGTCAAATATTTATTCCAACCTTGATAAGGAACGTCAGATCAATTCGCGTGCTTACTTATATGTTACTCTGGCACTGCAATATAAATTGCGATCAAAGTATAATTCTTCAAACGAGAATTTCTCTTACTAATTTGCAATCACGTTGCCCGAAAGGGAAAGATTCGTTTCGATATTGTTTTAACCTATTTTTCATTTTAATCCGGCACCTTAAAAATACTCCTTACGATATAATTTTGTACAAACTTCCCTCTGGAAATAATTCAAAGGGTAGCCCGGTTTGGGACGCTCAAACTGAAATGATATCTCAGATTTTTTATTCGTTTCGTCGGAGTTAGATCGTTAGATACAGTGTCCCAAAATTATTGTACCAGCGGGAAATGAGGGATTCGTGAGGTCATTTGAAATAACTTTTTCCTTAGCGAAAATGCAATCCGCAGCTTCGTTTACGAGTTATTAACGAAAAACAGTGACTAATGAGAAATGAGTCTTCCATAGCATTTTTGTATCATTCTTAAGACCGCTTTGAAATTGAATTAATGTTATGACCTAAACGCAACAAAATAGCGACGCATATCTGGAAAATGTTGGTCGGATATTAAGAAATAGTATCGAAAGGATTAAGTAGAAAACAATTTATTGACATTGTTCTTGCATAGTTTATCGCGTGGAGTGTTTGAAAAGTTATACGATCGATCTATGTAAAAAGGACCGTCATTTAAAAAAAAAAACTGTGCCGTTTTGTTATTTTGAAGATTTCCAAATATCTTCTGTTTACAGAAGGATCATTATTTTTATCAGGGGGGCATTGTAATAGAGTATGGCACACATACACAGCTTTATTACATGTAATCGCTCTTGATTTCCCAGCGCCACACCGTCCCGTTATAAAATCATACTTATTCAAGAGATAAAAAACTAAATCACGGAATGAGTAATTTAAAATCGGAACAATATGAAATTAATTTGCTCAGATACAGCATTATTGTACACTGTTTTAACGCTGAGCATTCTATTTAGGAGAATTCGTGGAATCGTTTCGTGTATTAAACGGATTCCACGGTGAAATCGCGAGGAATTATAGAATTTGAGAGGACATCTTTTTAAAAATCGAATTTCCCGAAATTTACGAAAAATTTCTTATCGTTTACCGCATTGTAAGAATGTGGTACAATTTCGATTCATCGTAACCGTTTCTATCGGAATGACTATACACAACATACATTAACGGTACAACACCCGATGACAAGTAACGTATACTTAATTTGAGAGATAACGCAGCCACCCTTTGATTTATTGTGTTTAGAAACTCCGATAAAGTGTTCGTAAACATAATCGTTTTACACAAGTGGCAACTCATTCTGCTAATGTCGAGGACAACGCTGCTTACAAAAGAGGACAAAAATACGAATTTCTTACGTAGGCAGGCATTGTTTCGCGTATAACTTACTTGGTAATGCGTACTATACTATTTTTATGTTACGTGGGTTGCTTATGTACATTATCTGAATGACATTGACTCGAGAAGGTGAGAATATAACAATGAGACCGAAGAGAGGATGAAAATAGCATGTGAACTTTCTGCCGATGTGTACCATTAACGTGTTTCTCGCTATCTTCAATCGTTTCCAAACTCGTAAGAAAGTTACCTGATTTCGCATACATGTTACAAACATGCATACATGCATACAAATTACCAAGCCTGCGAAACGCATTGTTTAAATTTTCGAGTTAGGCCCAGATAAAAAAAAAAGAAATTAAAAGGATCGGTTGGAACTGCAACAAAAATTTTTTTACATATTGTCTAGTAAACTAGTTCGTCTAATATCTGAAAAAGTACAGATCTTTTGACTCAGTTTAAAAAATGTGATTCCGTTTTAAAAGTGCTATCTTTGGTTTGGATCTGAACTTCTAATTTTTAGCGATTCCGTGTATAAAATTATTGCGCTACAATTACAACAAATGTATAATCGACGTTCACATGATCTATTAGGTTGTTATAATGCCTATGTTTTGATGTGCTTCGATCAAGATATACTATTATATCTGTAATTGTATTACACGTGTATCATTTAAATAAAGAATCTTTTATTTTTTAATACTTTATTTAGATGTTTAACGTGACTTTTAAGTAGAATTTATTCAAATTCCGATCGCACACATCGTAATAGTTCGTACACTGTCGTTCTGTCAATGGAAATGAAGTTTTCTAATTACAGTAAATTCTCCCTAATTGACCCTCAGCTTGTACACAAAAATGGGCAATTTGGGAAGTGGAGATACGATTAGCCAGAAAGAACGTTTTCGTTGAAGAAAAAATAACTGCGAATCACCTTAGGAATCAGCCCAGCTAACACAATTTTTGGAACATCCTGCAGAATAAATAATGTGCTATTGAAAAAGCAATAGAAAATTAAAGTGAAGCAGAGAGGAATAATCGAAATTGTATAATTCTTCGAAACTATGTGTTACAAAATGAACTGTACAACGTTTAGCCGGTTTATTCTATATTTGCAGCAGGATCTGCTTCATATGCGTTTACATTGTGAAATAAAATCGAATTACATACTTTTTTTCGTGTCCTAGCACAGTTCGTCGCATTCGACAATGTAAGGAGGAGCACACTCGCTGTGTCTGACTCCAAATGAATAGGCAGGCATTGGTTTTGGTGGTTTAACATTATAAATAGGACCCGGACTGCGACAAATAATTCTCTCAGGTTTCCTACCTGTTATAGAGAAACTTGCCTTACACGTTTTCTCTTCGTAAGCGAAAGGGCCCGGTGTAGGAGAACATTTCAAAACTGGTGTGCGAATTCCACTGTAAACAAATTCGAAGTATACGTTTAAAACAAACGCAATCGATTATTTTCATTCGAAGCAAATGGAATTAGTTGTGCAGAGACGATATCGGCAATGTGAGTTCAAATTCAGCGGAAAATAATTAAACGAAATACGTTCTTGTGCTATCCGGATTAGAATCATAGAACCAGGTTCCAAAAACTGTTATAATATCGATTATGGTTCTTGAAACGATCATGAAGAATCTTTATTGGGAGTAACTGTTATTATTTGAATTGATTCCAGAGTCGATTCTATATAGTGTTCTTCTGTCAAGTTATCCGCAATTGATCTCGCTAATTATTGCAACAAATATCAGACCCATCGCATAGTTCTTTTTTTCGCGAATATCTCGAAATCTAAGCGAGACTGCGCTAATATGCGGAAGAAAATGTTACTCGAAATGTTAAGATTTATGAAACATTAAGAAATAATGAAAATCGGAAATTTTGAATGGATTTTAAATACATATTGGCGGATTGAAATCGCAACGACATTAATAGACGACGCTTTTTACAACTCAGGGCCTGTAAGCAAGATTTGAGCTGTTTATTTTGAAAGTGGCCTAAGTTCATTTTTCAAAAACATCATGTTATCAATTAGCAATATTTTTAAATTTATTAAAACGTAAAAACCTTAAATATCTGGATTTTCAAATAAATGGACTTAAGCCACTTTCAAAATAAACGGCTCATTTAATCACTTATAATATAAACAAGAAGAAAGCAAATAATCGAACTGGACATATAATACTCACATCGAGAACGCTGGACCTGGTGTAGGCGTTTTTATTAAGTATGGGCCCGGTGTTGCGCATTCACCCTTGAGTTTAGTTCTAAACCTTAACGAGAATGCTGGAGTTTTCGGAGTCGGTAAAATATATGGGCCAGGAGTACAAAACGGTTCTAATGGGAAAGAATAATATCGAACAGAATGGTGATGATCTTAAAAATACGACACAAAATACACACAACTTATATTATATTCCTAATCGTCTAGTTTCTACCAACAATAACGATTGCGTATTTTAAACATTTTTGTATAAATAATTAATGGAGAGAAACTTGTTTCTTATTTATATTAAGAATATGAATCAGAAAGTATAAAGAAAAATTAAAAAAAAAAGAAAAGATCATTCGATTACCTTCTATTACCGATAATAACATTTATGTTTATGTTTGAAAAAGATGATAAAATAGTTGCCCGTATCCAGTCTGTTACGATAAAACATGGCACTTTAAACAGAATAACTTTGTTAAAGTAGGACCAACCGACCTTGATATTGTTGAGATTTTAGAAGGACTAGTTTATTACTACCGCTACTATAAGAAATAATAATGCAACAAGATAAATGAATATTACCAAGGCCTCTGCCGGTTGATCCAAAAGAATAACCACCATGTTTTGGGCTCGGTATCAAATACTTTGGTCCTGGTCCATCACATTTTTTTAATCTAAGAAATCTCGCTCCGAAGGTATACGCTGGATTCCGATACTTGGACAAGCAATGCTCTTTGTAACCCACAAGGGTCTTAAGCAGATATTTAGGTCCGGGACCTAAAACATAGATAAAACAGAAAAATAGTCAAAGGAGAAAAGTGTCTACGCATGCAGGTTATACATACCGCGAACACCGCATATGACAATTACAGGCTTCTTTGTTGGTTCTGTTTCTGATTTTTCAGGGTCTGATTTTGGCGGCATTTTGTCGTACTTGTCAATTTACATTTCGTACAGTTACCTTGTAATCGAATAAAGTGTAAAATTTTGGGAGTATCAGGTAAGCCGAAACATTTTAAACGAAAACTGTTAATTAGTGTAAATAAGGATAGCCATGAACATATCGATGTATCGGAACATCTTATGGATGAAACGTGAATTATTTCATAAACAAAGTAGAATTGCAATACATACCTCCGTTGTCTTGAATTAAATATATCTATAGATTTATGTTTTATACGTACATGTTATTAATAAAATAGGACACAGAAATTTTAATGTATATTACAAGTATTACGTAAAATCACATATAAAATCGCTCTAAAAATAATAAAAATGTATAAAATAATGTTTCAAAAATAATACATTTTTATAATTTTCGAATTACATATCTTGTTTTCTTTTTTTGGTATTTTATGTACAAATATTAATCTTCGTCCAAACTTGTGATAGGTACACCGGCGCATTCGCTGTGCCTGATACCGAAGGAATACGACGGTGCTTGCTTTCTAGTATTAAATTGCGGGTAATACTGTGGCCCTGGGTTCAAATTTATTTCTGTCAACTGATTTCTCTCCTTCAAACTAAAAGCTGGAGAACTGCGTTTTACGATATCTGTTCCTGTTGTTCTATAAGCTGCTGGACCTGGACTACCATACTCGTATCTGACTTTATGGTAGCTACCCCTACGACAAGCCAATATAATAAACCATTTATTATAGCAAATACAAATAATTTTTTATCAGTATATTATATTGATTTAATAATTCATAAAATATCGGTTTGTTATTATCACACAGGTAAATAACAAATTTCTTCTGAACGGTTTGTGATATATCATCAATATAATAATATTAATATAATAATAATAATATTATATTATATATAATAATATATTATATACAATGAAAATTGGCGGGTAAAAGCAAGGGTCATGTGAGGTAATTCGAAGGAAGGAATATCGAGAGTTAGTCGTGTGACAACGCGGTCCTTTCTCTTCCAGGAAAAGCCCAGAGCACTTAAGGGTAATTGCACCCTATAGAGAGGTGCAGTGAACATGCTGACATTGTTCTTCTCTCCAATTTTGCTAAAATTTAATTTCGACACGTTCCAAATTATTTAATTTACGATTATTGAAGTTATAAGGATAGAGCTAGAAATCTGAATAAATATTATGCTTTAGCTGCTTTTAGCGCTTTGTAAACCCAGTGGTTAAATCTCTTTTATTTTATTTAATATTTGCGAAAAACGCACACGTTATTATGGGGCATGCACGTATACAGGGTGTCCCGTAATTATCTTAATACCCGAAAAGGTGTGATTCCTGAGGTCAATTGAAGTAACTTTTTCCTTAGGAAAAATGCAATCCGCGGCTTTGTTTACGAGTTATTAACGAAAAACAGTGACCAATGAGAAGCGAAATCAGCTGGCGCAAGCCAATGAGCAAAACTGGACTTCGTGCCATTTAATAAATGACTACCAAAGTTACTTCAAATCACCTCAGGAATCATCCTCTTCCGGGTCCTACCATTAATTTTGGGCCACTCTGTGCGCAGAGAAATTGCCTTTTTTATACACTCACATAGTAAAGGCACCTTGTGCCGTTTTGTCTGGAATTTTCGGACCGATGCATGTGGGCAAAATGTATGCATTTGGACCAGGTCCGGAATCAGTAATTTTTGTTTTAGCTCTGCACTTAATAGTATAACCAGGTGCTCTAATGTTGTGATTCATTGGTGGACATAATTCTGGATAGTGTGCTCCTGGTCCTGGTCCTAAATCTCTTACTGTAAACCATAAGAATTTTTACCATAAATGCATAACTCCTATCGTCGCTCAAGTAAAGCTATTATATCTCGAAAATCGAAAGGTATAAAATAATATTTCGTTTCCATCGAAGTACATTAAATAATAGAAATTATTGAAGGTAACAATAACAAAAAGAAAATGCGAAAAATCTTGTAACAATGTTTTAACTAACATCAGTTTTTCTTATCGTTTAATTATATTTTTTATTTATAGATTATTTACACGAAAGTAAGCGTAAATTGCAGGAAAGTATGTTAAAAAGAGTTATTTAGTTAATTTGAAATTTTGAATTATCAGTGGTATATTTACCTTTAAATATCTCTCTACCAGCTACTGTGTATGCGGGTGATGTATCCAATCCATAATTTGTTAATTTTGTAACATCATATCGTGGTCCAGGTCCAACACTTGGTACAACTATTTTTGTACGATATCGCATACTGTATGCTGGACTTCTATGACGAGATAAGCAATGGCCGTCATATCCGACTAATGTCCGCAATTCATAAACTGGACCAGGACCTATACACACAATTAGAAAATTATAAATTACCAACTAGATTGAATGAACTTGTAACTATACTGTCAAGTGTATTTTTAAAATATTCAATGAGGTCTGAATAATATTATTCTTACTTACGATTACCGTTGCAATTAAATATTATATATATATGTGTGTGTGTGTGCGTGTAATTTGAAAATGATAACAAAACCTAGAATATAGAATGCTAAATACAAAGATCGTTGTAAATACAATTTATTTATACAATATTTACCTTTTATCATGCAGCTTAAGAGCTTTGTCCTATTTTCCTTATCTTCCATTTTTTAAATCTGTGGTAATTTATTAAGACATGCACAATACAATACAACACAAAACGTTATCAATTTCGTGAACGAAAACGACAAATGGTTTACTTTAGACAATCTTCAGAGTACATACAATATTCGACGTTATATTCAGAGACGATGTTTAAAGACCTTGAAATTTCTTCTTAATAGAAAATATTTATTTGATTTATAAATTATATCAATTGTACTTTATTTTATTTACTTATGTACACCGAACAATTCCTTCTAATTCTTCACCTTATTAATTGGAGCATAAAAGCGAACGAATATGTTAAACTTATAGAATAGTATGGTATTTAAATCATTTTAACCGATATAATACGGTAACTAATAACATCGTCGTTCAAATTGTAACGTGAAAAGTTACACCATTTTAAAAAAGTGGAAGAATAATAATCCTTAATGGGAATCAAATGAATCAGTGGCGCGTCTGGCCATGACAAACCAAATCTACTTCTCGTCATACTACAAGCCCTAAATGAAAAAATATTACTCTTTTTCTTCGTCTTATTTTTACATGTAGAATCACGAATATGTCGTCTTTAACATCGTTTTTTATTTGATTCTATTTTTTTTTATTTTAACAGATCTCCACCGATCCAAAGCTGTAGAATCCAGCTGTGAAGGTCGTGGCATTTAATTTTGAAGCACCCTACACTTCGCGACATCTCATTTGAAATCGCTAACGACTAAGGTCTAGTGTGAGACGAACATGAACTCAATACCACATTTAAAAGATATACTCAACTTACACTAAACATACACTAAACGCACACCAAAAACACACACGAAGACATATGCATGAAATACAAATTCGACCGTGCACCTCCTTATCGTTTACCTTGGAATATTATATTATATAATAATATAATATTATAATATAATATATTATTATATAATAATTACGATATTAGATATCGGCGGCACGTTTATAATTTAAAATGCTGTAACTTTGTAAGAAAAAATCGTAACCAATTAATTCCACCCTCATATTAAACTGCACTTTCTCGGTACCACGACCATGCCCTCAGATTTAAGATACTGCAGTCGTGGGGATGCATAATATTCAAAATTAGAACATGGTGCCAAAGAGATTTCAAGTTTTAATTTTTTTTAAATATGATTTTGTGATAGTTACGACTGTTCAAAAATTGAAAATTTCTCGGCCAAAAATTAGCGATGCTCTAATTTTGGTTTATATAGATCCCTAACATATGTATGTGTACATTAGAGCAGTGCAAGTACTCGATAAAGCGAGCTGAGGTGACTCGATTCGATTATGCGAACCGAATCGAATACTCGCATGAAGCAAGTCGCTCACAAGGGTTGAACCGCTCGCAATAAATTCGGGTATTTGGGCGAAATCTGACGGGATGTGAATATAGCAGGAAGACCGACACATCAACGTTATTAAAACGCAAATTAATTTTGCAGTCTTTTACTTCCAAAACTTCTTTATTGTGCTGTATCAGCAAGGGAAACAATTCTACGTTTGACGACTTTTAATTTCCGGTACACTGATGATTATAAATAAAATAATGTAAATTATTGTTACATTGTGAATATGCAAATTGATAAATTTTAGATAACAGCTAATATTATAAATCATATTACATAAATGCTTTACTTGTATATTTAGGAAAGAAAACAATTTTTAATGCAAATTATTAATATTATTAATGTAAACATTTATTGTCAGTTTTATAGTAGAAATTTTAATGTATAGTAACTATAAGTGCAAAATTCATTCACTTATCTTTTCCTATATCTAAAGAATAATATAACAATATTCTCTGTCCTTTGTATGATTTATTGATAGGAAAATAATTATTAATGTAGCTTATAAATATTAGCACATGTATTACTTAAATCAATATTGACGTAATGCACCACGTCTAATTGCTGGCTGCCGATTTGGTGGTGTGATAGAAATATCTAAATAGTCACCAATTGTAAACCTATACACAAATTATGAAAATTATTTAATATAATATTTTAGAATATATAATTTAATTGAATATAATATAAAAATTACATTTAGTCAATAAGCCATACGTACCTTGCTTGTGCTAGGGTTTTATTATCATCTGCACCTTTTTGTCCTGAACAAGTTACACCAATTTCACGCATGCGATATCCAGAATTACGTAGTTCAGGAGTTACCAATGAAAAGTCAAAATAGGTTCCTTTACTTCGAGCATCTGGATTTACTTCTTTAACTAACCCTGTAATTTCTCTTAATGTTGCATCCATCCTTTTAACAAAAAATGTAAAAATTTCACATGGTTAGAGGATATATATGCCTTTTCCTTATTTATAATTATCAGCTAATGAATATTTTAAAAATCTTACCATGTATATATTTGTAATTCATTTGAAGGAACATTTCCTCTACTATATTCCATTATATTATGATGTCTACCTGTGTTACAAAATACTCGAAGCAAGAGTGGACATGTCTAGAAATTTAAGTAAACAGAATAGAAATAACATGAGATTACAAAAAATATTGTAAACCATTTATAATAATATTTCTACGAAAGTTTGTTACATTACATACCTTTTCTCTGTCAATAGGTTTTTCTGGCAACTGTTTTTCATCTACTACCATAGATTCTATAGCTGATGTCATTATTAAATCTGTTACAAAAATCTACGTAATTTTGGAATGTGTAATCTATTTGTTTAGTACAAAATTTGAAAATAATGTTACGCAGCGTCTGTTTACTAAATAGCAGGAATGGTCGCTAAACAAAGTTTAAGGTTATGTTTTCGTAACTGAAGGGGCTAGATTCCCTAGCGTCGAGATAACACTAGGGTTAATATTGGGACATCTTTTAAAACGGAATACCTTTTTTATAACTGAACCAAACGTCTTGAATTGTTTTAGATGATTTTTTAGATCTTTTAGATCATCTAAATAAATGCAAGTTTGTTTAGTCAAGTTTTAATAAAATTATTCCGTTATAAAAGGTATCCCAATATTAATTTGACCGACTGTATGTAGTCTTATTAATACAGAATAAATAATAAAATTTATATTCTAAAGAAATTTATGAGTGAAAATAAGTAAAAAACTGTTTTTAAACATTGCAATTGATTGGGATGATAAAACAATTAAAAAATGTTTCCCGCCTTTTTATCTAAGCTTATAACGAAAATTTAAAAAATGTGTTTTGAAGATTTTGGTAACTTATATGTATACCGAAAATTTCATTTACCAATTTTGATGAAATTTCTGTGAAAGGTAGTTTTGTGAAAGATATTTGTATCTAAAATAGTTACAATTTTTATTACTATAATACAGACAAGTAAAAATGAAGAACAAATAACAATTTATTCTTATGTAAGAGAATCCGAATCCCAAGTATCATCTCCAAAATCATCTTCATCATCATCTTCATTTTTAACTACTAGTGATTTTAATTTTAATAATAAATCATCTTTAG